AACAACAACAACAACAACAGTAGAGGAAAAGAGACCAAAAACAAGAGTAGAGCCATGGGCTCCACTGCAGCCACCACATGGGCACACTGTCTTTATTTTCCTATTATAGCTCTTTCCGCACAGTGCTCTGGCTGTGACTAGAACCATCCCTGTTTACAATAAATGCTGCCATCTCCCCCTCACTCTGTTTGTTATATCGCCTCGGTGCTTTGACACACATGAACAGGACCTCCAGTTTCATTGGAAATTTAAGTGAAAAGAAACAAATTCATCAGGGTTACGTTTTTTTTTTAAATAACCACAGAAACTTTGACTTGAAATAAGAACTGGATTCTGTATCAAAACAAATCTGGAGGTTACAGATCTGTCTTCCTGTTGAACATATTGTTAAATGTGGAACTGGACTGACCAATGGTCAGTGTAACACGTTTTACCAAAATTTATCATTTGGCTAGGGGATGAAGAATCATTAAAAAAAAAAAAAAAAAGTCTTTTTGAAAATGATGAAAAAAAGAAAGTTCTTACTGTTGGTTTATACCTATTTTAATAGCAGAAGAGTTCCCTTGCATTGCCATTTGAGAAACTGACATTTGCAAGTGTGGTGTTCTATGAGGTGCCAGAGCAACAGAACTGAGCTTACTGAGCAAGCCAGAGACAATGAGGAAGCTCAGGTACATTTGGATTTTCCAGTAATAATGTTTTATATAGACTGTTATCACTTTTATCATGAAATGTTTTGACAGAGAAGTAATTCTGTGACATTGATGTGGGGATAATTGTTTTAATATTTAGTCATTTTATTTGACAAAACTGGAGAAAACAAATAAACCCAGATGTAATTGTTGCAGGAAGGGTTTGGATGGGATAAAACTTAATTTTGTGATGTGGAAGATGATTTTCTTGAACTTTCAGTTGATCTAGTGTTTGTGGTTATTTATAACAAGAATGGTTCATGGGAAAGACTTTTCTCCTGTTATAGGTACTCAGAATACATAATAATTGTAAAATAAGAACCATCAGGATAGTTAGTGATGCCTGGGACCAGCCTGGTTATCATAATCAGATGACATAAACCACTAATTTCTTAGACCCATCACTGCCACTGATGATGTGGTACCCTAGCCCCTTTCAAAGTCTCACCTGTTTCTAGCAGCTTCCAGGGCATCTGGTTACCACATGATGTCTGCCTTCTGATTTTCTTCAGCTCTAGCCCATGCTGGAGAAGCCACTTGAGGGTCTTTCTCCACAATCACTGCCAACAGGACCCCAATCAGTAAGTCTGTCTCTATCTCCCCCTCTCCCCAGAGATATGATGGGCTTGGTTTACCTACCACCCTAGGCCTGGATGCTGAGGCATGGGGTCAGTGAGAGGTCAAGGCTGAGAGGTTTCTAGGAACTCCTAGTGCATCCCAGAGACACTGAGGTACTGGTGGGAAGACCTCTCTCTCTGTTCTCAGGGGTAGGACATCCCACTTCCTATACTACTTTCCACGCACTGCTCCCCTAGCCTGAGGATTCAGGTATGAGCAGGAGTGGAGGTGTCATGGACGGTGGTGAAAGTAGTAGAGGTGGAGCTGTTGGCAAAACCCCAGGGACATATGGGAGCTACACTCCATACTATCCCTCCATCAAGTGGTGTTGCGCAGCTCAGATGTTTCTCCCCTCCCCAAGCAGGTTGATGATTTCTGCTAGTCTACTTCACCAACCTGCTGGGTGACCATTCTCCATACTTTGTATGCAATGAGTCCTACCAAAGACTCCACATCATGTTATGGACAAGGTCCCTGAGGCACAGATATTAAATCACTTGTTTAAGGCCACAGTCAAGAAGTGACCAAGCCAAGATTTGAGCACAGAAGTCTGCTTCCAGAGCTTGTGCCACTAACAGTCCTGATGGCTGGGCTATGTGTGGGGTCAGGTGGGAAATTGGACACTACAGGGACAATAGAGAACCAGCTCATCTTCCTTCAGACATGACTGATTGCCAATGAAGTCAAGGCATAGCCTGCAGTCAATTTTGGAGCTACAAGTGCACCTCAGTGTATTTTCCAGATGCCTTTGGGTCAAGTTTGAACCCACCAGCTTCTCCTTGAGAGAAAGATGTAGCAACCTTCTTCTATAAAGATTATAAGCTTAGAAACTATGGGATAGTTCCACCCTGTCCTATAGGATTGCTGTGAGTCTGAATCAATTAAATGGCAATGGGTTGGTGTTTTTTTGGACCAGGTATCTGATAGTCGGTCTATCTGTGAATTCAGCTGTGTAGGACAGATGCTACTTTAGTCCCTTCATCTTCATCTTTCTCTACTCAGCTACTCTGCACAGGCACACTGGAAAAGTGACAAACATGCCATCTACTGACTCAGAAATTTCTCCAAGTGCAGCCTGTGACTTCATGAATTTGTACTAAAAGGAAGGACCACCCAGGAGATAGCCTTTAAATAAATGGACTTTAGGAAAAAATATGCAAATGAACAAGCACACATACATGCACACATATGCACATCTATAGGACATGATGGTAAGACATGACAAGGGAGTGGTACAGCAGTAGGGAAGGGCTCACATGTGGCTGGTGACTTCTGCAGTCTGTACTCTAGCATCCCCACAAGGTTCCCAGGGCAGGCTCTAGGATGATGAGTGTCATGCTCAACTATAACCCTCCTTAATTGTGTGTTTTGATTGCTTCATGCTGCTCTAACAGAAAATACCACAAATGGGTGACTTTAATAGACAAGAATTTATTCTCTTACAGTTAGAGGCTAGAAGTCTGTGTTCAAAGTACCAGGCTCTAGACGCTTGGTGAAAGCCACTCAACCTTGGGCTTCAGATATGCCTCTCGCTCCCAGCCCACTGAAGCTAAGGCTTTCTTCATTCAGGCAGCTGCTGGCTGCTGAGGCTTACAAACCCGAGGTCGACAAGTAAATAACGCACATTCCTGATAATACCAAACCACATGGCAGGCCATCAGTTCAAGTCCATTAAGAGTCCCAAGATCAGCAGAGAACATGGCAGGCGGCTGAACAACAATTTGGCTACATGTAGGAT